CGCGGCACGACGTGATTCATATATATTAGAGCGAAAATTCCGAAACAAAGCCCCTTTCCCCCCGTCCGTCGCTGCGGCCTACGACGTACTACACACCCCGACTTTGTCATTATATTATAATGTATGCGACGATGATCGTTATAATAATGCTTAAAACAAATACGGAGGCGCGCGAGGCTCTGTATATATGCTAAAAGTACGGTGACAATAATAATGACTCGCATATATAAATGTACAAAAGCTCATCTGACTGTATATGTATGTGTGTGTGTGCGCGCGTAAACGAGTCAAAGTCCGCTTCGTATTATGTGTATATAGCAGTATAGTGGTAGTCGTGCTCGATCGCCACACCATAGGGCAGATGTATGGATGTGCTCTATAGCTACTGCTGCTGCTGCTGCTGCTGCTGCAGAGAGAGAACGAACGAACGAACGGGGGCAGGTGCAGCCGAGCGCGTGCCGACTCTAGCTCTCTCTCTTCAACCCCCCGCTGTTCACCACCATTCAAGACTATAATTTACTTGAAGAATACCTCTCTCTCTCTCTCGCTCTCTGGTGCGCGCACGCCGAGCGAATAGACGCGTATACACCTATGCAAGGGGAAAAAGCCAAAGAGAGAGAGAGAGAGAAAAATTGGTCCTTTTCTCTGTTGCTCGTTAACGTGCGCGCTACGTCGAGCTTTGCGATTTGACTTCTCGCGCGTGTGTGTGTATGTGTGTATCATGCGTGCGAGGGATTTCCAAATATACACACATCGCTTAATATAGTAATAGGTCGATCGCGCGGCGATTTTTTCACCCCGGCAACGATGATGGTGGTACGAACGGGGACAGAATCGAGGAAAAAGGCCCCTACGCGCGTCTTTGCGATCGAGCGAGAATATCATTATACGTACAACGATTATGGATTTATGCGAGTGTAGATTAATGGTCATTCATTTATAGGATCTATATACTCATAGGCCAGGACCCAAAGCATAAATTATGTATATTATGAATTTGGCAAGCAACATATATTCGGGCTCGCCCGCATACTATAACGTATATCGATGATTCGCTCGATGATGAACGTCATTGAGCAGTGAATATATCGATTATATATCGTGTATATAATAGCGATTGATATCGCGCGTGGGTGATCTTATCGTTGCCTCCATTAAAACCTTATCTCGGACCTTAATACATACGCACCGGCTTTCAAGAGGTGTCTACGACGACGCTGAACGGCGCAAACGGTATATATACACACTGTATACAACTGCAACCTGTCGCGTTCCTTACAGTCTCAAACTCGACACCCGACAAAAACTTACACGTACATAAATCCCTTGTAATAAGGCATATATATAAACGGGGGGCCCGCGCGCTGAGGAAAACAACAAACTCACCGTATCCCATCTCGGTGTGTGTGTGTGTGTGTGTGTGTACGACACGACCGGCTTAAAGAGCGGCTCTAATTCTATATACAACAATCGGGCTGCTGCTGCTGCTGCAGCTAAAAGTCGCTGCGGAGCAGGATTTTTAAATCGCACTACTGTAATACTCGTCGTCATAAACTGCGCGTCGGAGCTGTTACTAATGCGCGCGTCTCTCTCTCTCTCTCTCTCTTTATCCGTGTGTTTGTGTTTACGGATTCTTAATCACTCGGTTAAAAGAGAGAGAGAGAGAGAGACGAAGTATACGGTATATACACACAACCCTTGGGCCCGTGACAGGAGCTTTTTATTATTCGATTCGTCGCTCTCGCAGTGTCGTCCTTATATACATGCGTATATGCATACGTAAACGGTACGACACGACGAGTAGTATAGATCGGCGTGAATGGACGGCTTACGTGCACGTATGCTCGCGCGCGCAGCAGCTTTATTACGGCCTGTATAACAGTCGGATTACAAGACTGCTTACGCCTTATTACTACTGGTGGATGTAGGAAAGGATTTTGCACTCGGCGACGTGCCGCCCTTATTAGCGAACGAAATAAATAAATACATGTATAGAGCGAACACGAGTTTTCGCGTGCTCCTATTCCGGTCGAGACTGGATGCGAAGAGAAAATGTATCGTTATGAAATCGGGAGCTTTTTTCTCGCAAGTAGATCGGATCTCTAGATTTAATTATAAAATTCACCATATGCATAATATAGGAGCTTTCAGGGAGCTTTGTGATAATTACAAACATCGATTTGTAAACTTGAAACATTCGATATCGGTCCAACGAAACGGGCGTCGATATATATACGTATAGCGATCAAACGTACGACATTATAACGAGTTACATCGGCCGGGCGAAAAGTGAAAAAAAACTACAGAGAGAAAGAGAGAGGGAGGGAGAAAGATTACAAAGTAAAAGCTCGTTGTCGCCGACACAGAGAGAGAGAGAGAGAGAGAGAGCCTCGTCCCTCGTCATCAGTGCACATACACACTCATACGTATACAATCGCTTGTAACCCAATCTTCGAAATCCATCAACGCATGCAGAGCGCATAAAAAAAAAAGGAAAGAAGAAAAAAGCTATAACTCGGGTGCGCGCTTGCATCAACCAATGTATATAGCTCGGGCTCCAGCGAACCGCCCACGCTATATATCTACTCGCTGCTACACAGCAGCAGCAGCAGCAGCAGTAGAACACGACCCTTGCTTCGTCGCTGCACGATATACTTTTTACTCTCTGGCATTGCGTGTGCACACATACATTTAAGTTTGCGTTTGCTTCGGAAATGTCTACGTGTATGTGTGTACAGAGGCAGTCAAGTGTCGCCCTACATCGAGCTAGTACATATATATAGTAGCAGTAGTAGTAGTACGAGTCGCGTCGACTTGACTGACTGGCACATCGTAGCAAGCTATCGGGGCTAGAAAGAGAAAAACCGCCTCTCTCTCTATACCCCCCTGTGTGCAGCGAGTTTCGGTATATACGTATATATACGGGGGTGTAGCAGCAGTGACGGCGGTGGTGGCGATGGTGCGCGCGCGTAGCCGAGGCCATCTGTACGGCATTCGATGCTGCTGTGCACAGTGCACCTACTAGGACTAGCACTAGGCATTAGATATGTGCGCGCGGTTCTAAGCTGCCGCAGGCGGAAAATGAGAATTCGGCTGTACGTATATAGCTCTCGCTTAACAGAGAGAGAGAAGAAATGGAAATGCAACTATATATACTCTATTTTGCGGACTCTTTGTCATTATTATTATGTGCGTACGGAATAGAGAGAGTCGACGATGCGGGGGGAGGGTTAGAAGAGAGAGAGATTGGAGCCGCGCGATAATTAATTCGGATGCTGGAATACAAGGGGGTGGACGTGTCCGATATATATAAGACTCGTATGCCATGGCGCTGTGTGTGTGCGTACTTCTTTCGGCGCCCGTAAATGTACTTTTATGCGGGTTTATCGGCGTCGCGCTGGCTAAATATTATAGACCTAAAGCTACGGCGTTTGTAGTATTTTTCATCGTATAAATTTCGCAGCCGATATATATTCGTATGAATAGCGTCGGGATGATGCGACGAAACGCAGGACACGCGTGTGCGGCTAAGTGTATATTCGACTAAAAGGATTTCGGCCGCATCGGTGGAATATTATAATATATACAACGTTATAATCATCGCTGCCTCGAAAGGTGAATGCCATTTCGGCTATATATTTATACGCATTTTGTGCAGCGCATCGATCAACATATGCGCGCCTCGCAAAATCCATGATACTCTCTCTGAAACACGCACTTGTCGATCACACGCACGTATAGTAAGTTTCGAGGCACGGACAAAGTGCGCATCGATGATGATAATGCTCTACTCGTGCTGCGTCGCGTGTTACGCGCGTTTATTTTATTACATATACACTGCACACATGTATACAGAGTCCAAAAAGTCACGCATCGCTCGAATTAGTCATGCTTACCTGCCCACGTGCGCGTACATTATAGATATATACACACGTTAATGGTGCGCATGCATCCGTATCCATCCGTATCCATCCTTCCTTCCTCGACAGCTTTTTTTTTTTAATAATAAATGAAGTATAACGCGGAGCACTCAAGCACACACACACACACAGACGCACACCTTACCTGTTGTTGGATACTTAACTCTGGCCTAAAAAGCAAAGAGCTGCGTCCACCCCTGGTGAGCACCGACTTATATTATATAACGGCGTGATATTGATTATTATTAAAACATCGGCAGCGACGATCTATATGTCCCAAATATTATATGTCCCAAAGAGCAGGCATACGTAATTATGGCTAATGCAATATTTGACGGCGTGACAATATGACAGAAGAGCTCGAACTCGAGCGAGAGTGGATGGTATAAGCGCGCGAACCGTCGCGCCTACGGATCATTTAGAAAAAATGCGATCGAGAAAATGATATTTCAATATTACTGAATCTTCAGCTCAGAAAGCAGAAAGAATTAATAGTTTCGCAGTTTTGATTGCATACGTCATTTACGTTATCGAAGTTTGATATCGATGCCGTCCGGACATAATCGTTCATTAAATGAGAAATTGATCAAAATCAATTAAACATATTAAAAACTTTGATAAATGGAAAATTGAAAAATTGCTCGAGATCTATATAAAAAATAGGCTGATTTATTTAACTCGCCCCTGACACAGGTAAACATAGTCACGCTACGCTTCGCTATAGTTTCGTCAACTCGCAGATCAGTAGGTATCCTCAATACATCGAAGATAATTGCCCGCGTCACGGCAATATACATTTCGCACGTGGTCCCATCTTAATCAATAAAAATTTCTAACAATCCTTGCCCATTTACTGTCATAGGTCATCATCAGCTCGCTTCGTGAAGTGTTCAATAATTTATAATTTCTTTGTAATAAGATACAATTCAAAGAAAATGGCTAATTGGTTATTACGCCGGAGATCAATTGTAGAATTTCTAAAATTAAATAGTAAGTTTAGAGTGTCTCTGTTGACATAAATTTTCTCAAACTTTCATTTCACGATTTGTAAATATTATTACACTTATGTTACCTAGCTCGATGTGTAACATCATTACAGAACAATTAGTCGTTGATCAAGTTCCGAGTGATAAACATGGACTTCAGTGATGTATATAACTCTGATGTCAGGTAATTTTTGTTTCGTGAGAATGAAATTTAAACAAAAATGACATAATACTTTATATTATTGGGAATATTGCAGAGTGAAGGAGGAACCAAATGATGTTTCCCCAATTGAAAATGATCGTTATGAGATAATCGGCAATGCGCACGATGTCAGGTAATTTTTATTTTCTGAAGAATGAAATTAAAAAAAAAATGATATAATACTTTATATTATTGGGAATATTGCAGAGTGAAGGAGGAACCAAATGATATTTTCCCAATTGAAAATAAAGATTATAAGATAATTGACAATGCACGTGATGCTAAAACCGACGAATTCTCGAGTTTTTGTCGAGAAAATTTAGTAAGTGTTGATGTGGGACTGTTAAGTCAATATTTTTATCGAGTATTTTTACTAATCTCATTTCCAGATTCATGGGCTTCGAGAATATGATGAAAATTCTGGACCTAATGACGATTTGGAAATAGAATTCGAATGTAAGGACGAGAAGCTCGGCATTAGCTTATTAGTAGTCAAAAAGATCGAGGACGATTATCCAGATCATTTGCAGTATATGAAAAATAGTTGCGATTATCAGACTCAAAAGAAAATTAAAGAAGAAATTGTCGACGAAGTAAAAAAGGAATTGAATTTGGATGGTGAACTCAGTGATGCACTTGACGCAAATGAAAAAACATTTGCTCAAAAAAGTCTATGCGAAACCCGCACTGATAAGTCACGCAATCGTACCAAATATCCATGTAATGTATGCGGTAAACAATTTTCACAAAAAGGTCATCTAAAGATTCACATCGATTCGATTCATAATGACGTCAAGCATACGTGTGTGACATGTGGAAAGACATTCACACGAAAAATAAATCTCAAAATACACATAGATGTTATGCATAATGGTATGGCACCTACTTGCGAAGTTTGTGGCAAGAAATTCGCTTTGAAGAGTGGTCTCAAACTTCACATGGATGCAGTGCATAATAAAATAACTCATGCATGTGATACATGTGGCAAAATATTTACGCTGAAAGATACTCTTAAGAAACACATCGATGTGATGCATAGTGGTATTGCACCTACTTGCGAAATATGCGGAAAGAAATTTCAAACGAAGACTAAACTCAAGCTTCACATCGATTCAGTACATAATGGTGTTAAACATGATTGTGGTGTATGTGGAAAGACATTTGCACAAAAAAGTATTCTCAAAAGTCACATCGATGCTATGCATAAAGGTATGGCACCTAGTTGCGAAGTGTGCGGAAAGAAATTTCAAACGAAGACTACACTCAAACTCCACATGGATGCAGTGCATAATAAGATAACTCACGCATGTGATACATGTGGCAAAATATTTACGCTGAAAGGTAATCTTAAGAAACACATCGATGCGATGCATAAAGGTATGGGCCCTACTTGCGAAATATGCGGAAAGAAATTCTCAACTAAGACTAAACTCAAACTCCATGTGGATGCAGTGCATAATAAGATAACTCACGCATGTGATACATGTGGCAAAATATTTACGCTGAAATATAATTTGAAGATTCACATCGATTCAGTTCATAATGATATTACCCATGAATGTAAAGTGTGCGGAAAGAAATTCGCATTCAAGAGTAGTCTCAAAGTCCACATGGATATAGTGCATAAAAAGTTAACTTACGTATGTAATACGTGCGGCAATACATTTACTCGAAAGGTTCATCTTAAAACTCACATTAATACGCAGCACGAAGACATTGCATGCGTTATCTGCGGAGAAAAATTTAAACATAGGAAATATCTACATATGCATGTCAAATGTACGCATGATGTCAATACCCAAGCACGAGATCAATGCAAAAGATCTTAAAACATGACTATCGATACCACGCAAAATGATTAAATATCGAGACAAATTTAAAACAAGAGTTTTAAATAAATTAATAATAAATTAATAAAAAATTTTTTGCAAAAGAAAAACATAATGTTTCATTTGAATCAAACTAGGGTAAACCTTCCATTTATTGACCGAATTGTTGTTTTTCAACTTTTGAATATCTAGGAAAATTTAATGATTGCGACTAAAAGAAAACTAAATAGTTCGTCGCATAGCTCATTACATGTTCAATCAATTGAAAGTATTGAAAAATTATTTTAGCATCATTAATGTTATTAAAAATGATGATTTAACGAGGTACATCAAAAGTACTTATTATTGACCATCTCTAAAAAATATCTCCAATAATTGACCGGGCTTCGTCCAATAAATGACCAATATGACATCATGTAAGGTTTTATCAAATTAAACACTTCCCTTTGTTTGTATAATCAAATCTAATCTTGAATCATTGTTATTACATTCAGTGCTGGTCGGATCAGTACTGTTTAAATTAGTTTTATGCAAAAATCAGTACCATCAGATTTATAGCGAACCTGACCTGTATACTATTGCAAGCACTAAGAAGTGGTCAATAATCGGTCGTGTATCACAATCAACGTTTCGTCCAATTATTGACTGCAAAAAAAATTTCGATATTTTTTAATATATAGTTAATACAATTTATATGGGTTGAAAGTCAATTGAAAACATATGAATAACATTACTTAATGTTGGGAAATTATTATAGATAATATTAACATTCGTGTATTCAATTTATAAGTATTATTATTGATCAAGCGGTCAATTATTGGACTTTGTTTAGAATATGGGCGGTTTACCCTATCTATAATTTTTATAAATCTTTAAGTTTCTGTTGAGCATACAATTAAAGTTAGGACTTTTGCAGAAGGTGCGTCTTGCATAAAATGTTAAATTAATTATTCATAATCAAAGTTACGAAATCGCTAACTTAAGGATAATCGCCAGCTTTTTTGTAATGAATGATGTATAGCGCGGAGCACTTAAACACGCACAGACACAGACACACACCTAAGCTGTCCCGTATAATTTCATGTATGTTATATACTTATAACTCTGTCCTGAAAAGCAAAAAGCTTCGTCCAACCCCCCCTCGTGAACGCCGAGTTATTATATAACGACGTGATATTGATTATTATTAAAACATCGGCAGCGACGATCTATACGTACTATACGTCCCAAAAAGCAGGTATATATACATACGTAATTATGGCTAATGCAACATTTGACGGCGTGACAATATGATAGGGAAGCTCGAACTCTAGCGAGGGTGGATGGAAGCGCGCAAACCTTCGCGCCTACTGATCATTCAGAAAAATGCGATGCGTATGTGCAGAAAATGAAAAAATTAAAGGAAAATGATTTTTCAATATTACTTAATCTTCAGCTCGGAAAACATAGAAAATTAATAGTTTCGCAGCTTTGATTGAGTAACGTCATTTACGTTATCGAACTTTGATATCGATGCCGTCCGGACATGATGGCTCATAGACTGTAATATATCACCGTTTTTATTAAATAAGAAACTAAAACATAAATTTATCATCCAAACCAACATAAGGACAAATGGGTTAAATGTCATAATTAAAGTATTTCAAGGTCATGTTATGATTTTTCATATTGTAGGACAAGTTTTGGTAATTTTTCAAGGATCTTTTTTAAAAATCTGTTTCATTTGAGTGGAGAAGATCCATTTTACAAACATTTTAAGACCTCATAGATGAGGATTGGTTCAAAACTCCAATCAAAATATGCTTAAATATTTGTACTTTCATTTACCGAGCAAGTGTGAACTATTTGCCACACCAGTAAATGAAAGTTGAAAAAGAGTGAAATTTTCTAATGAAAATTTAATTTTTCACTGAAAATGCAATTGTTTAACATATAAATGACAGTTTTAAAGGTAACTAGTCCGTTATAAAAGGTTTGAGCTACTCATTCTTATACAGTGGATCTTCCAAATTTTAACGATTTCCAGCTATTATGTACCAAATGACCGTATTTTACGGCTCAGCGAACGATGCGTTCGTAAATTAACTCCTATTTTTAAACTATATTGATTCTAGACCTGATAACCATTCGAATAGTTAGCAATAATACCCAAGAATAGCATAAAAATTCGTCGTTCATGAATAATGTTGTTATCAATTCATAATTTTTATTTTAAAAAGTGCATTCGTTTACTGGTATACTTTCAATCACTGGGTGGGTGAATTTCTTTGTAATAATTAGATAAAATTCAAATGAAATGGCTAATTGTTTATTACGCCGGAGATCAATAGTATAATTTCTCCAATAATAAATAGTAAGTTTAGAGTGTCTCTGTTGACATAAATTTTCTCAAACTTTCATTTCACGTTTTGTAAATATGATTACATGTATAAGTTACCTACTTCGATGTGTGACATCATTACAGAACAATTAGTCGTTGACCAAGCTCCAAATGAGAAACATGGACTTCAATGATGTATATAACTCTCATGTCAGGTAATTTTTATTTGCTGACGAATAAAATTAAAAAAAATCGGCACAATACTTTATATTATTGGGAATATTGCAGAGTGAAGGAGGAACCAAATGATCTTTTTCCAATTAAAAATGAAAATTATAAGATCATGGACAATGCACACGATGTCAGGTAATTTTTGTTTCGTGAGACTAATATTTTATAAAAAGTTAGTATTATACTTCAAGTATAATACTGTTAGTATTATACTTGCTGTTAGTATTATACTTAATTTTGATGTGAATATTGCAGCGTGAAGGAGAAGCCAAATGATGTTTTCCCAATTGAAAACGAAGATTATAAGATAAGTGACAATGCACACGATGCTAAAACCGACGAATTCTCGATTTTTTTTCGAGATAATTTAGTAAGTGTTGATGTGGGACTGTTTAGTCAATATTTTTATCAAGTATTTTTACTTATATAAATTACAGATTCATGGCCTTCGAGAACATGATGAAAATTCTGGACCTAATAACGATTTGGAAATAGAATTCGAAGGTAAGGACGAGAAGCTCGGCATCAACTTATTAGTAGTCAAAAAGATGGAAGACGATTATCCAGATAATTTGCAGCATATGAAAAATAATCACGATTATCAAAGTCCAAAAAAAATTAAAGAAGAAATTGTCGACGAAGTAAAAGAAGAATTAAATTTGGATGGTGAACTCAGTGATGCATTTGATGCAAATCAAAAACCATTTACTCAAAAAAGTCTATGCGAAACCCAAACTGATAAGGCACGCAATCGTGCCAAATATCCATGTAATATATGCGGTAAAAAATTTTCACGAAAAAGTTGTCTCAAGGTCCACATCGATACTGGTCATAATGGTGTTAAACATGTTTGTGGTGTATGTGGAAAGACATTCACACAAAAAGGTCAGCTCACGATTCACATCAATTCAGTACATAATGGTGTTAAACATGCGTGTGGTATGTGTGGAAAGACATTCACACACAAATATACTCTCAAAATGCACATCGATGCGATGCATAATGGTACGGCCCCTACTTGCGAAATATGCGGAAAGAAATTTCAAACGAAGACTAAACTAAAAGTCCACACCGATGGAGTACATAATGGTGTTAAACATGCGTGTGGTGTATGTGAAAAGACATACGCACAAAAAGGTCAGCTCACGATTCACATCAATTCAGTACATAATGGTGTTAAACATGCGTGTGGTATGTGTGGAAAGACATTCACACACAAATATACTCTCAAAATGCACATCGATGCGATGCATAATGGTATGGCACCTACTTGCGAAATATGCGGAAAGAAATTTCAAACGAAGACTCAACTCAAGATGCACATCGATTCAGTACATAATGGTGTTAGACATGCGTGTAGTGTATGTGGGAAGACATACACACAAAAAGGAGATCTCAAGAAACACATCGATGCGATTCATAATTGTATGACACCTAGTTGCGAAGTGTGCGGAAAGAAATTCGCATTCAAGAGTAGTCTCAAAGTCCACATGGATATAGTGCATAAAAAGTTAACTTACGTATGTAATACGTGCGGCAAGACATTTACTCGAAAGGATCGTCTTAAAACTCACATTAAAACGCAACATTAAGACATTGCATGCGTTATGTGCGGAGAAAAATTTAAACACAGGAAATATCTATACAGACACATTAAAAGTGAGCATAAGGGCAACACCCAAGCACGAGATCAATGCAAAAGATCTTAAAACGTACCTATCAATACCGCGCAAAATGATGAAACATCGAGACAAGCGAGTGGCCGTAAAACTGTCATCGAGATAGCGCATCACTCACGCATTACCACCTAATAAGTGTATAAAATTTACATAGAAATTTTGTAAAAAAACAATTACTATTGTATTTTGGATCACTTCTATATTTTCCATCTCACTGCTTACTAAACGATTCAGTTTTAAATAAATTAATAAACTTTTTATTACAAAAAAAACATGATGTTTCATTTGAATCAATCTATATCTATAATTTTTACCAATCCGTACGATTTTGTTGAGCACACACTTGAAATGAGAATTTTTGCAGAAGGTATATCTTGCATAAAATGTCAAATTAATTCTTCATAATCGCCAGCTTTTTTTTATAATAAATGAAGTATAACGCGGAGCACTCAAATGCACACACAGAGACGCACACCTTACCTGTTGTTGTATACTTAACTCTGGCCTAAAAAGCAAAGAGCTGCGTCCACCCCTAGTGAGCACCGACTTATGTCATATAACGGCGTGATATTGATCATTATTAAAACATCGATATCTATACGTACTATACGTCCCAAAGAGCAGGTATATACAATATACATACGTAATGATGGCTATAACGCAACATTCGACGCGGCGTGACAATATGACAGGCGCGAGGGTGGCAGGAAGGATCGTGCTTTACTTTTCTTTTTTGAGCTTCGTGCCGAGCGTGCATTCAGATCGGTTACGCTCGGCTGACTTGAGTGCTGCTCGACTGCCGCTAGCCTCGCGTTTATACTTGTATACTTACGCATTACATTGTATTCGATGTATTGCCTAGCCGATTGAAAAGTCACTCTCTCTCTCTCTCTTATAGAACTACTGTGTGTGGCTATATTATGCGGGTGGAATGAAAAAAAGGTGACGGGTGCAGTGGCTTGCGTATATTTTCAGCTGCGCGGATTTTCACAATGGACTCGCGCGCCGCGCTAATTCGATTTTGATTATGAATTGTGCCAGCTATGTAGTTGCCCCCGCACGCGCGAACGACGGGGTTGGCTCATATGGTTATAATACAACACAGGAAATGAAGTGATCCTTGATTAATAATCCTTGATTGTATTGCGGTAATATAAAATGTATTCATTTCAAAATATATATTATGCTCGAACGTAATAAAAAACAAAGTACATAATTGTGGTACATAATTATAATAGCATAATCACTTTGTCTCTCAGTAACATTGGCACTGGCCGTCCAAGCATCTACCGAAGCGGCCGGTGGTGTGCACGCACTCGACGTTGCATTGAAAGACGTCGCAGCGGAAGGCTGAAAAATCATCCACATATATTTACTCATGAAATATAAAATATCGAATGATATTATTATTTATGGCGCGAGTTTGGATCGGGGTGTGCGAGTACCCACGATTTGGGAAATTTTAAGTATCGCTACAATAATGTTTTATTTGCAAATTTATATTATTTATGTACGGAAAAAACGAATTAGTTCTGGGTGAGGTGTCTGGGTTTTACTTCAAACGATCGTGCGCTTATATAAATAAAAAAAATTGAAACATATTTTTTTAATCTTCTTTATTTAAATTGCCTGTATCTTGTTCTCATTATTCATCGACTCATTCGCCAATAAAATATTACATAAATCCTCGTTCTCCAGCTCGTCGATTATGTATTTACAGAGCTCGATCGGCAGCCGGTAGCGTATCAGCTCCCAGAAAGGATACAGTGCCCAAGACAGGAAAAATTTTCTCGCCAATTTTTCGCATAGAAGCCTTTGGCAAGCCCTCCAGTGGCGTCCAACGATCGCGGTTTGGTTTAAAATAATCAACAAGTCCGAGCGCGAGAGCACTACGTAGTCCTTGTACTTGACCACTTGCTCGGCCTCCTCCGGTGGCAGCCGGATCAGATCGTCGAGCGACAGACGCGGAGTCGTCCTCGTCTCGTTATTCTTGATCTGCCACGGTCCAGAGCCGTACTTGGTCCTCGGTAAGACCGTGAACCTTTTCGCGTCGCTCGCGAACTTCTCGCCGTTGCACGTTGATTCCGATCCTCTCGAGAACAGTTCGTGCTTGACGAAAAATTGCACCACGACCATGGCGTGGCTCAAGTCGAGCTCGTGTCCTCGGCTCTCGAGACGCTCGACGACCGCCATGATACCGGCGGCTCGTGCCAATAAAGGCGTCAAATGCCTCGTCAACGCCTCGTTGAAATTTTCCAGGGTCGGAAAAACGAAGCTGGACAGATCGGCGCCGTGATCCAGGAGAAGATCCACCAGGTCCAGCGAGAGATTAGCCACGGCTAGTTCCAGGGCTGTGCGGCCCTCTTCGTCCCGGGCATCGAGCCGCACCGGTCGATTCTTCTCTGCGCTGACCTCGAATAATACCTTCGCCAGGTCGATGTGCTTCTTCCAACAAACGATATGCAGAGCCGTCTCTCCTTTCTCGTCGGGCAAATTTGGGTCGGCGCCTGTCCTCAGCAGCAGCTCCGACACCTCTCTGTGATCGCGTCTCAAGGCCAAGTGCAGCGGCGTCTCTCCAGTCTCGCGCCAGACGCAATCGAGATCCGGCCCGTACGGCAGAAATTTCTTCACGTAGTTGTCGAGGCCGGCCATGCAGGCCACATGGAAATGCGTCAATCCATCCTCGTCCGTGTAATTCACGTCGTATCTGTCGTAAAGCCGGAAGAACGGAGCGACGATCTTGAATTTGTGATCAATTTGATTGGTCGCGAGCAGTCTGGCCATTTGGTGCAGCAGCGTGAGGCCGCGCGACGTAGGCCTGCTGCCCGCGCCTTCGTCGACGAGCTCGGGCTCGTGCCTGTAGCGCGCGGTGTCGACGAAGAAGTCGATAGAACAGGCACCTCGATAAAACGCCGTTTCCAGGGCGCAATTTTTGTCGAGCATGCGCACCGCCGAGTCCCAGATGAGAAGCTCGATCTGTCTGGTCGTGAAAATTTCACGGAGACTCTCGCCCCTCCACCGTCTGCTTACCAAGAAGTTCAATACCTCGTGAAGTCGTAGCCGCTGCACTTCGAACTTCCAATCGATCTCGTCTCGTAACGAGATCAACCTCGCTACTGCTTCGTCGACGCTGCGATTCTTCGAGCGGCTGCGAGCGCTGCTGAACATCTTGTCGTCCCAGAAACTTTCGTCGAATTCGACTGATTCGTTGTCGGACGAGTCGGACATCTGTTTGTCACTTGCACACTTTTTTCGCACGACGCACAGTCACTTTTTAATAATCGAAATTTAATTTTTTTTTACTTTAAAAAATCAGTCGCGGCAGAAGTCTACGAGATCATTACTGTGCTGCCTACACTTCGGCATGTGGCAACGCCAACGCGTACTGGCATATAGACACGCGCACATGTACGATCTATGGAGTAAAAGAAAGTTAAAAAAAGAAGTCGGTGATGCAATATACGAGATACGAGTGGCGTGTGTCGCTGCGTACAGTTACTACGTGTATAGGAATCGTAAATCTAGTATAGTAGGGGCCGACCGATACGCGATAATAATAACAACAACACACGGCTGGGTATAGGCAACGGCCCCTACTTCGCTGCACAATTTCTAATCGTAACCGAATTATGAAACTTGGACTGTATCTATGTATAGTTTGATGGCGAGAAACCTATTACATACGAACACACATGCGCAAGAGATCGAGAGAGAGAGAGAAAGAGAGAGAGAGAGAGATGAAGAGATGTTACACGAAACTTCAAATCGACTCTTGTCATCTGAGTGAATACTTATACATGAAATATGACATAGTTGGTTTGAATTAGTTAATCAAGTGTCATCAAACATTTTTGTGAGCGAATTTTTCTTTTTTTTCGATCTTTGGTAATGTAAGACTTTATCAAACAATGTCAATCAAAACTCAAAAATAGTGGTAACAGTAAAAAAAAATCAAATACACGACTCGATTTTTTTTTCGGGTACTCGCAGACACCTGATTGGGATTAGACGAAATTATCATATTTTTTACAATAAAACTTACGAATAAAGTCGGTCTCGGGCTCGTTCACAGCTGCTGCAATCGTCGATGTGGCGCAAAACATCGACGCGACGAGAAGCAGAAAAATCGGCAGAAAAGCGACCTTCATCGTGATAGAAAAAATGAATAAAAAGCAGAAGAAATTTCGATTCGGTTACTCTCGATGCTGATACATTTCGCGAGCGCCGCGTCGATGTTTTATATACGTATGCGAGCACACTTGGACACGAGTCACGCAGCCGTCGTTGCATGATTAATTGCACACCGAAGAAGTAAACATAGCGTTAATTAATCGACGAGTGCGCAGAAAAAATTTGAAATTCGATGTAACAACGCGATACGTCCACTCGCCTACACGTGCGATTGTTTCAGTGGAAAATCGATCGCTATGTGTATTGATATTGTTAAAATATGAATTATCGAATTTATCATGATAGTTTTTGGAAACGATTTTTATTTTACAATTAATCATTCTGATATTGGATTCATCCTTGGACGATTGCGATGGCATTTGCAAACGCGATCCACTTTCGCGCTTAACTGACCATTGGAAAAGATACGATCGTGCGTGCAGAAAATGAAAAAACTAAGAGAAAATTCATTTTTGATACTACTGAATGAACTTTGAAAACAGAAAAACTTAATAGTTTGACAGCTTTCATGGCGTACATTGCTTACGTTACTACAAAAAGATATCGAAATTTGATATCGAAGCCATGCAGAAATTGATCTGAAAATCATTTAAACGAATTAAAAACGTTGATAAATGGGAAATGAAAAATCGAGATCGCTACAACAAATATGCCGCTTTACTTAACTAGACGTTTAAGACGCGCTCCGCGCGTATCAATTTTTTTATTTGTGTTTTGAGGTTAGCAACTTTCAGGCGCGCTTCGCGCGCGTACACGTTTCGACTCGAGTCAAAAGTCAGTCGACCAATCAGAGGCCGAATAGATTGGCTTCACTTTTAGGTCCATCTCTTTTTTATAAGTTAGATACGTTTCGACTCGAGTCAAAAGTCAGTCGACCAATCAGAGGCCGAATAGATTGGCTTCACTTTTAGGTCCATCTCTTTTTTATAAGTTAGATAGACTACACGCGCCTAACATTACGTAACTGAGGCCAGGGGTACATTGACACGAGTACAAGATTGACAACCGCCTCAGTTACGTATATTATTTTTCATCATCGAGTGCATGAAGTCGATTTTAAGATTTTCCCGCATGCTGTGATGAAAACGTATTTTTCTATTTATAATTTCTTTGTAATAAGATTCAGAGAAAATTGCTAATTGTTTATTACACCGGAGATCTATAGTATGATTTCTCCAATATAATAAATAGTAAGCTTAGAGTGTCTCTCTGTTGACATAAATTTTCTCAAACTTGTATTTCACGATTTGTAAATATTGTCACATTTATGTTACCTAGCTCGATGTGTAACATCATTACAGAACAATTAGTCGTTGATCAAGTTCCGAGTGATAAACATGGACTTCAGTGATGTATACAACTCTGATGGCAGGTAATTTATATTTGCTGGCGAATGAAATTTAAAAAAAATGGCATAATACTTTATATTATTGGAAATATTGCAGAGTGAAGGAGGAACCAAATGATGTTTTCCCAATTGAAAATGAAGATTATCAGATAATTGACAATGCACACGATGCTGACACTGATGATCAATCCTTGCGATGTCTAGAAAATTTTGTAAGTGTTCATATAGCACTGCTTGTAGCTGACATTTTCAACTACAATTTTCCCTAATCTTAAATTCAAATTATTTTCTAGACTCGTGGCCCTGACGATGTCAAAGTAGAATTCGAATGTAAGGACGAGAAGCTCGGCATTAACTTATTAGTAGTCAAGAAAATCGAAGATGATTATCCAGATCAGTTGCAACATATGAAAAATAGTTGCGATGATCAGACTCAAAAGAAAATTAAAGAAGAAATTGTCGACGAAATAAAAGAAGAATTGAATTCGGATGGTGAACTAAGTGATGCATTTGATGCAAATGAAAAAACATTTGCTCAAAAAAGTTTATGCGAAACCCAAACTGATGAGACACGCAATCGTGCCAAATATCCATGTAATGTATGCGGTACAAAATTTACACGAAAAGGTAGTCTCAAGATCCACATCGATGCAGTTCATAATGGTGTCAAGCATACGTGCGTTACATGTCGAAAAACATTCACACTCAAAAGAACTCTCAAAATCCACATCGATGCGATGCATAATGGTATGGCAGCTAAATGCGAAATATGTGAAAAGACATTCACACGAAAAAGAGATCTCAAGAGGCATATCGATGCAGTTCATAATGGTGTCAAGCATACGTGCGTTACATGTCGACAAACATTTACACTCAAAAGTACTCTCAAAATCCACATCGATGCGATGCATAATGGTATGGCACCTAAATGCGAAATATGTGAAAAGACATTCACACAAAAAGGAGATCTCAAGAGGCATATCGATGCAGTTCATAATGGTGTCAAGCATACGTGCGTTACATGTCGAAAAACATTTACACTCAAAAGTACTCTCAAAATCCACATCGATGCGATGCATAATGGTATGGCACCTAAATGCGAAATATGTGAAAAGACATTCACACGAATAGGAGATCTCAAGATTCACATCAATTCAGTACATAATGGTGTTAAACACGCGTGTGATGTATGCGGAAAGACATTCATGCAAAAAAGATATCTCAAAATTCACATCGATTCAATACATAATGGTGTTAAACATGCGTGTGTTACATGTGGAAAGACATTCATACTCAAACATACTCTCAAGATGCACATTGATGCGATGCATAATGGTATGACACCTACTTGCGAAATATGCGGAAAGATATTTCAAACAAAGACTAAACTCAAGATTCACATCGATTCAGTACATAATGGTATTAAACATGAGTGTGGTATATGTGGAAAGACATACGCACAAAAAGGTCATCTCAAAATTCACATCGATGCGATGCATAAAGGTATGGCACCTACTTGCGAAATATGCGGAAAGAAATTTCAAACGACGTATAAACTTAAGATTCACACCGATGGAGTACATAATGGTGTTAGACATGTGTGTAGTGTATGTGGGAAGACATACACACAAAAAGGAGATCTCAAAATCCACATCGATGCGATTCATAACGGTATGGAGCCTACATGCGAAATATGTGGAAAGACATTCACATGGAAGGGTAATCTTAAAAAACACATGAATTCGATGCATAATAAGATAACTTACGTTTGTAATACGTGTGGCAAGACATTTACTCGAAAGGATCGTCTTAAAACTCACATTAAAACGCATGAAGACATTGCATGCGTTATCTGCGGAGAAAAATTTAAGCATAGAAAATATCTATACAGACACATCAAAAGTGAGCATGAGGGCAACACCCAAGCACGAGATTAATGCAAAAGATCTAAATCATACCTATCAATACCGCGCAAAATGATTAAACATCGAGACAAATGAGTGGTTATAAAACTGTCATTGAGATAGCGCATCACTCACGCATTATCACCCAATAAATGTATAAAATGTATATTGAAATGTTGTAAAAAACAATTACTATTATATTTTGGATCACTTTTATGTTTTCCATCTGACTGCTTAAGAAACGATCAAATTTAAATAAATTAATAAACTTTTTATTACAAAAAAAACATGATGTTTCATTTGAATCAATCTATATCTATAATTTTTACCAATCTGTACGATTTTGTTAAACATACAAATTATGAATCGAAGATTTTCGCAGAAGGTGAATCTTTCATAAAATGTCAAATTAATTATTCACAATCGACGTCACGACATCGCTGACTTTACGATTTGTCGCACAATTTTTCACGACCCGCCTCGCGTGAATCCAAAAGAATTACAAGATCTCTCCCTCGCACGCGCTTCTTCGTCGAAAATGTGTTCCAATCTCGTCGCCCATGCTCTACACACAACATACCTATCGTCGCATTTTCCCACAGATAAGAAAAAAGTAAGTGACTCGTCGTCGATTAGCGCCTATTACAGGGCCTTATAGCTATAAGTGCTGTGTGTAATATCTCGTGCGTCTGTGATCCATGCACTACAATACGGTGTAACGAGTGGCATAATCATCGGCGCACACAACTACGAGCCGTATGCAGCATGTACACAAGTAGATGTCTCGTACTTATTTTTTTCCCATAGTGTTTATAAATACACGATTACCGCAAGGATACATCGATTCTGGGCATCTTGTATACAGACCGAAATCAATAACGAGACATAAGCTTGCTCGCGCGCGGGTTGACGCTATTTCTCTCTCAAAAAAAAAAAAAGTCGCGCGCCTCTCGTTAGCTCCTGTCACTCTGTTGATGTATACAAGTACATGTATGTCACTCGATGATGCGTAACGCATCGCGTGGGTGGAGCTATGCTCTCGCCTCTATATATACCTACATATAGACATATAGATATATACGTTCGTATAAGTGGGCGCGTGCAGCGGCGGCTTTCTCGAGAATCGATCTGGACACTTGTCGCGCGCGCACTCGAGATTTTGATCGATCGTTCTTCTTCTTTTTTTTTTTATATACGAACGATTATGCTCGTGCCTGCGTGTATTTTACGGCGCTGCACTCGTAGTAAATAAAAACAAACAGTTGGCCTAATTGGTCTCCCCCTTCTGATTCGACTTTGCTTTATTTATTTGTGTGAAAAAAAGGTACACGCTGCACGAGAGAGAAGCAAGAACTTGTAATTTTTTTTTCTTTCGATCATATGGTACGAATTGAGGAATTTTTTCGGCATAATTGAGTAATGTCGATCGTTCACACGCTCGATTCGGGGACACTTTTCTCACGATAAATCGGGTGCTAGAAAAGAAAAAAAATTAATTAATCGAGAGAAACAAACTCGCGCATTCGAAACAATCGATCGAAGCGTATAGTATACCTCTTCAAATACGATGATACCACTTTGAACCTTCACCACTAGATAGCGAGTATCGTTATATGTAAATATGCAATGTAGTAAAGTAAAAATAATTGTATAATTTGATGCACGCTTCTCCTATCAAACTATGACAGATTGTGTGTTATTTCCTCAAAGCAATAATGACCGTAGCTGTTATTTTGTGTATCTATGGTGTTACAGCGACCATCGAGAAGTATCGCACCGAGTAATGTGTGCTTGTTTGCGGCGTTTATATATCTATATTATAGAGGAGAGAAATATAGCGAAGATGGCACGTGGCGGACGTCGGATGTCGAATACGTCGAATCTAATCTCTGGGTTTGCCGCGTGCGTACACGCTCTGTGGGCCACTCTTTTAGGCCAATTTTCCATGTAATTGGTGTCGGTATTGAGCGGTCCGGCTGACGAAAAAAAGAAACAACAGTCCAATAATGCGCTCTGAGCGATTGATAACGAGTCAATGGCTTAATAATAAGGAGCGATCGATTATTGTACAAATTAATTAAGATTTTTCGGGGCGATCGATCCTGGTCGATGTTAATTATATAGATAACATGTCGTGTTATTAGCTTGACGCGGGCAGATTTGTCATTCAAAATTCTCGTACTATCGTATCCGCGAATCTTCAGATTAGAATTATTTCAATTTTCTTTCGTATAAGTGCACACAATTTTATGGATGTTTTTTGACGTACGAAAAAGTTTCTAGAATTTGAAAGGGCTATTACATATAGACTTTTACTGACTAAAAAGGTAACATTTTTATTAAACATTTTATAGCCTTGTAATGTGCCACGATTATTTCGCTTTTTCAACAATCAGAAATAGTAAAAAAACTATGTACAATATTATTTTATACAATATATACAAATACAATTACTTTACCACTTGAAGATTTACAGATAATGATACTCGCCATCTAGTGGTGAAGGTTCAAAGTGATATCATCGTATTTGAAGAGGTAGAAAACTGATCTTGACTGTTTTGACACAGTTGAATAGTCATTTTCGGGTTGTTTGAAATGCGCTTAATATTTTCGAATATAATTACAGGTTGTTATCAGGTGATTATTGATGATAAGCAGTGGCAAATTGACTGGAGTCAACCACGCCAAGGTGTCGGGCTGGCAACAGATAGATTAAATGGATATTACAAGAAATATTTTGTAATTACTTAATTTTAGTCAACCATAAAACAAATCCTCGAAGAAATCTTCAGCAAATTGGAATTTCGAATTGTTTCGAATATCGTAAGGATAATGTATAATCAGATAAGTCGGTACCTTGATTGCAAACAAAATATGATAATAAACGATTTTGTAGTAGTCCCTCGAACACTGATCGTGTTTATAGTAAAAACAAATTAGTTTGAATGTTGCCTTTCTTGACGAAACAAGCCATAACATCAATAGATAAGTTTTACTCATTCAAATTCTGTGGCACTAAATTGAGGGATTCATCGTTTAATTTATGTCCTAAAATGGATAAAAGTGAGAAGAAAACCAAAACAGTTTTCTCGGAAAATAATTTGAGTGAACATGACATTGTTGTTTCAGACGACAAAAAATATGTTTGTGATATTTGTCAGGAGGCATTTACACTTGAATCAAACATGATGACACATCGAGACAACATTCACAATGAACGAAACATTTTTGCATGCGACAAGTGCGAAAAAAAATTCGAGTTTCGAAGTCATTTGAGTAGGCACCAAATATCAGAACACAGAGTCCACAAAGATTTTGTATGCGACCAGTGCGAAAAGAAATTTGTGAAAAAATCGAGTTTGTCTACGCACCAAAAATTAGTACACAAAGATCACGAGGATTTCACGTGCAACAAGTGCGACAGAAAATTTGAAAATAAATCAAGTTTACTCAAGCACAAAAAAATATTCCACGAAGTTTTCAAGAATTACTTATGTGAAGTGTGCGCGAAAAGATTTGATACTAAAAATATTTTGCTTTTGCACATAAAGACGGTACATGCCAGTCGCAAATATTTCCCATGCGACAAGTCCGAAAAGGAATTTGGAAAAGTACCAAATTTGTTTGTTACTACATCAGTCCACAAAGGTAGCAAAGATTATGCATGCGACAAATGCGAGAAAAAATTTACACAAAAACCGAGTTTACTCTATCATCAAAAGACATTCCACGAAGGTCGCAAAGATTTCGCATGCGACAAGTGCGAAAAGAAATTTGAGTTCCGAAGTCATTTGAGTAGGCACCAAATATCAGAACACAGAGTCCACAAAGATTTCGCATGTGACAAGTGCGAAAGGAAATATGGAAGTAAATTAGATTTGTCGAGGCACCAAAAATCAGTCCACGAAGCTTGCAAAGACTACGGATGTAACAGGTGCGAAAAGAAATTTGAACAAAAATCTAGTTTAGTTTTGCACCAAAAAACAATCCACGAAGGTCGCAAAGATTACGCATGCGACAAATGCGAGAAGAAATTTACACAAAAACCGAGTTTACTCTATCATCAAAAGACAATCCACGAAGGTCGCAAAGATTTCGAATGCGACAAGTGCGAAAGGAAATATGGAAGTAAATTAGATTTGTCGAGGCACCAAAAATCAGTCCACGAAGGTTGCAAAGATTACGGATGTGACAGGTGTGAAAAGAAATTTGGATTCAAATCAGCTTTGATAATGCATCAAAAAACAATCCACGAAGGTCGCAAAGATTACGCATGCGACAAGTGCGAGAAGAAATTTGGACAAAAGCCGCATTTGCTCTTACACAAAAAAACAGTCCATGAAAATCGCAAAGATTTCGCATGCGACAAATGCGAAAGGAAATATGGAAGTAAATTAGATTTGTCGAGGCACCAAAAATCAATCCACGAAGGTTGCAAAGATTACGGATGTGACAGGTGTGAAAAGAAATTTGGATTCAAATCAGCTTTGATAATGCACCAAAAAACAATCCACGAAGGTCGCAAAGATTACGCATGCGACAAGTGCGAAAAGAAATTTGGACAAAGCCCGCATTTGCTCTTACACAAAAAAACAGTCCACGAAGGTCGCAAAGATTACGAATGCGACAAGTGCGAGAAGACATTTGGGGTTCGAAGCAACTTGATAAAACACTACATGACAGTACATGAAAAACGTAAAGATTTTACATGCGACAAATGCGAAAAGAAATTTGGACTGAAATCGCAAATGATTTCTCACCAAAACACGGTACATGAAGGTCGCAAAGATTTTGCGTGCAAAAATTGCGAAAAAAAATTTAGGAGTAAATCAGATTTGTTAAAGCATCAAAAGATAGTACATGAAGGTCGGAAAGATTTCGCATGCGACAAATGCGAAAAGAAATTCGGACATAAAAATAGTTTGCTTATACACCAAAGGACAGTCCACGAAGGCTGCAAAGATTACGCATGCGACAAATGCAGGAAGAAATATGGACAAAAAAGCCATCTGGTAAGACACCAATCGACTGTTCACGAAAGTCATTAAGCGAAATCTGTTAAGAGACATCGAGTCTTAAAGTTATAGAAAAAATTTCAGACTCATTCATGACTCATTTGAGTCATAGTTCTTCTGAGAATAGACTGTATTTCGTCAGTAAAATATTACAAAATGCTGATTTTTTTATAATTTACAATTGTAACTTATGTAAATGTTCAAATACAAGCTTTTCTATAATTTCAATGAAAATTACGTCAATTTGATTTCGTCCAACCTTAATATTAACTATCATTACAGATTTACTTATTATCGCGGTTGGTTATTTATTTTTCAAAAAGATGATCGCTAATTACGAGTATTCGTGCATTTTTGACTCACAGCGATGAGCCGAGAATTTTTCATACTTCGTGTTTAGAATTATGAATTGGAGGACAAGCGTCCAGCTGTATACTGGACTTTTAATGAACCTTACGCTATGCTTTTGCTGACGGATACTGGTTATTTCAGCCAAGAATGGCGTGATCGGTAGTAACAATAATACTTTACTGAAAAAAGCAACGTAAGAAACAATCATTTATCTAATTTAAACCAATAACTGTTTCCTATTATTAAAAGCTATCGTACTTGATAAATTCTCTTCCTCAGTACTTTTAACTACATCAAAATTTCATGCTAATCCTTCAATTTTCCTTTACGTATTTTCTTTTGACTACCTCAACTGAAAAGCCAATGATAATTTTCGCACGAGTGACACTTTTCCTAATCCGGTCAACTGGTGGGGAACAATTCTATCATAGTTATCATCCCTTCCTTTGAGTTTTATTTATTTATAAATTTTTTTAGGACTCGTGCCCTTACTGCGACCACAATTCAATGCCATATGCGCGGTAGCAAGCCAATACATACCCTCCGATCATACGAATTATGCTGTTATAACAGTTCATTTTCTCTCCTCTCTCGTGTCCTTTAATTCGATACTTGCGGCCGTCGTATATGCAGCCGAAGATTTTCGTCGAGCCATGCATACAATACATACTCGCGGCAAAAACTTCGTCTGCGAGCTCCCAGATGTTCATGAGCGCTTGGCTCGGCTCGCGCTCCGGATGAATTAACAGGCACAGACGCACGAGTGGACGTCCGAAATTACGTTATGTATATATTCAAAAGGAGAAGGAGAGATGTGGCACGCGAACGAGCGACAGCCCGACGTCATTATCGTTTCCTTTTCTTTTCTTTTTTTTTTATTTTTTTTCTTTCAATACGATGCATAATTCCTCGCACGCGTCGCGGATATCAATTCGGCGCCTGCGTGCGAAAGCATAAAGAAGAGAAAGGGCTAAGATTCGTGAGCTTATAATACGGTCGCGTTCGTTTATAAGTCACTATACAATGTGTACTCGAGATGAGAGCGGCTTTAAAGGGGATGCGACATTATACGCGTGATAATACGCTTATACAACGAGACACGGCGTTTTGTCGTCTGCGTAATGTTACCGCGCATTATAAACGAATTATATAATGAATGCACACGAGACATCGTGAGAAGATGCCGTGAATTTCTCACGCGATCGAAGCGAAGAAAAAAAAAATGTTCCTACGAATTTCCGCGAAGGAGGAGAAAAAATTCCACACCCACGGCCCGAAAAAAATCGGAGAGCGCGGCCCATCTGTGCGGCACAGCCGATCGAGAGTCGAGAAGCGCGATCTCGGCGGAGCGTATCGCACACTCGGTGTGAAGTAAACATCGACGAATAGCTCGTTATGGATTACTACCCACTCCCTCGCGAGTTGAAAATTAAAGGGCAAAGGGCGTTTAACGAGCCTAAGATATTTATTCGACGTTTTCGAGAGAAAAATGAAGCAAGAAGAGGGGAGAAAAAAGTGTAAAATATCGTCAGTGTCAAATAAGAAGGAGGGAGCTATAGAGAAAATCTCAAAGTTTCTTGCAAGCGCGGGTCTCTCCCGAGGACATTTAACGCTTTTATATATAGTAGCCGACTTTGTGTATTATAACGCCACCGGTGTTTCATATGTATGGTTAGCAAGTAGCGTGAATAAATCGATTCGTCGCGCCACTTTTGCCTATACTTATCGAAGCGACACAGAGAGAGAGAAGAGATTCGCGCGCCCCTCGTACGTAATACGAATTTATGTATTTACAGCTTGTGCGTGTGGTGTAGATGACGCGCGATACAAATACATACGCGACGAATCGCGGCAATTTTCTTTTTCTAATTTTTTCTTACACTTCTAATTTGCGGATCGGAGCCGCAACGAGGGTGTGGGTATATAATATCACGCACGCGTGCGACTGTTTGGACACTTTACGAGATATTTGTGCACATAAAGCTCCCGTATTACACTGTAATATAATTATTATCGTTATCGAATTGATACAAGCGATCCTTGGTCGCTGAGTATCGTGAGAAATCACCTTCGACATTGTATAATAAGCGATGATCGCGTCGTAATATAATTCTTGAAGCATCGTATCGTGCAGCGATCCGCGTAATCGTTCTCTCGAAGCGCATCTATACATACAAAATAATAGCTATACAATACAATGTCGCCTATTCTCTAGGCACTCGAGATCGTCGCGGTCGACGACGATGGACCATAAAATTCGCCGAATTCAACCGCGTAGGTACACTACACTACGCACAACGTGTGTATAGGGCTGAATTCGTAGGAAAAACATCGCACACTATAGTGCAGCAGCAGCAGCAGCAGCAGAGACACGCGAAGGGTTAGTATAGCATATAATAGTATAACAGCAGCAGTCTCGACTAGTATATATATAGGTACTTGTTGCGGTGACTGCTCCTATTATTATTACTATATAACCAGCGTCGAGGCCGATTCTCCGCACGCGTTGCTCTATATATGCACGAGGTGTGAAAAGAGGCGCGCGCGATGCGTTACAACTGCACGTGACCGACACGTGGCCGTCGTGTATATAATATGGCTAGCTATACCCAAAATGCAAACGCCCGCAAATATTATATACGTATACGTGTAATTCGTCTGGGCCTCGATCGCGCGTCTAAAGCTATTATAGCGAGCCACCGGCTTTTTCTTCGACCACTGCTTCTGGATGTATATAGATGCAGTCACACTTTGGGCCAAGTGTATAGACACGAGGCGAGAAGCATATAAATATAAGCGCGACAAAAGAATAGAGAAAAAGGAACGAGATGATAATGACATCAGGCGAGAAAAGACCATTGGCTCTCTTTCTCGCTCGAGCTTTCAACGTTCGTTCGTTCGTTCGTTCGTTTGTTTTTTTATCTTATTTTTTTCTGCTACCGCTACCAAAATTTCTAAGAGAGACTAGACACGACCGATCCTATGTATACATTATACTTTTCTCTTAAGGCTGCGGTGTCGCTTATACATATCTACCGATCGTCGTGCAGCAGCGACAGATGCGCCGAACATCGGTGACGATTATAACACACACACACACACACATCCAAGACTTGTACTATAATATCGTATTATGCGGCACGCGCACGTGGTATAATAGCGCAGATAATACATAATTGCGCCCACTGTGACGCTTCTGCATTCGCGTGCGCAGTGTGCGATCACGCTTATAACTATATGCTGTCTGCACTTTCCGCGTGTCCGAAAAGATGTCTTAGCGTTTACTAGAAGGAATACATTTTTTTTTAATTTCTACCTTTTCGGTAGATATATATGTTTGATGGAAAAATGTTTATCATTTATTAGACGTGAGAATTTCAATCTATTTCCTTCGATGTCATAATTACCTAATGACCTAATTTTTCTCCATTTACTTATTGATGATTTCAAAATTTCATGTGAATTGAATTTTAGTTATTTACGAAAAAACTGGCGAAGATGCAAAGCCATGCTCATTCCGTTGTTTACGTCGTGCATGACCTCTCCGTGTGTCGACCGGCACGCGGTGAGATGCCTCATGCCATTGTCTTGCTATTCGCATAAGTTGTGCCGCGGAGCTGGGTCGCACATAACCCTCGCACAGACGCAGTTTTGCAAGATCCAGCCAGCACTTCGCAGCCATCTCCAGCAATTTTTTCCGTATTTACTTTGTTTGATGAGTAATACCGTCAGAAAATGTGTTAACGTTTGAAGAAGTTCCGAGCGATAGATATGGAGTCGAGTGATACACTTGATTGTGCCGTCAGGTAATTTTTATTTTCTTGAGAATTAAATGATTAAAATATCATAACCTAATACTCGAGTTTACCGGACTTACTTTAGAGTCAAGGAGGAGCCTAGCGATATGTCGTTCACTGAAAATTATTGGGACACGGTCGACGAGAAACCCGATCTAAAAAATTTCCAACTGTTACCATTACTGGAAGACAATTCGGTAAGGATTGTTGTTCATACTTTACTCGTATTTATAGTTGTTTAAATGAAAATTTCAATACAGCTTTGACTTTTCGACAGATCATTCGAAAATGTGACGAAAATCATGAAAGTAAACTGAACAACGAAGTGAAGATAGTTTTTGAATGCGAAGATGTAAAGCCCAATATAGATTTGTCAATAGTTAAACAAATTGACGACTATTCTCAAAATCATTTGCAATATATGAATTACAGTGATAATGATAAAACTCAAGACACGATTAAAATAGAACCTGCGGTGGAAGTGGAAAGAGACACTTTTGGCAACGATGCAGAAAAATTGAATTTGAATTACAATTGTGAACGCAGTGAAAAAAATAACATGAAAAGAATCGCAAAAAAGGTTAAAAACAACCATAACCTCAAAATCCACATCAATTCAGTGAATAATGGTATCGATCATGTATGCGGTATATGTGGAAAAAAATTCACACAAAAAGGAAATCTCAAAATTCACATTGATGCGATTCATAATGGTATGGCACCAACATGCGAAATATGCGGAAAGAAATTTCAAACGAAGAATAAACTTAAGATTCACATCGATTCAGTACATAATGGCGTTAAACATGTGTGTAGTATATGTGGAAAGACATACGCACAAAAAAAAGATCTCAAAATCCACATCGAAGCGATGCATAATGGTACGGCACCTACTTGCGAAATATGCGGAAAGAAATTTCAAACGAAAACTAAACTCAAGATTCACATCGATGGAGTACATAATGGTGTTAAACATGCGTGTGGTGTGTGTGGAAAGACATTCACTCAAAAAGGAGATCTCAAAATGCACATTGATGCGATGCATAATGGTATGGCAAATACTTGCGAAATATGCGGAAAGAAATTTCAAACGAAAACTAAACTCAAAATTCACATCGATGGAGTACATAATGGTGTTAAACATGCGTGTGGTATGTGTGGAAAGACATTCTCAAAAGGATATCTCAAAATGCACATTGATGCGATGCATAATGGTATGGCAAATACATGCAAAGTATGTGGTAATACATTCGCATTCAAGCGTGGTCTTAAAAGACACATGGATTCAGTGCATAATGGTGTTAAACATGAGTGTGTTATATGTGGAAAGACATTCACACAAAAAGGAACGCTCAAAATTCACATCGATGCAGTTCATAATGTTGTTAAGCATGCGTGTGGTATATGTGGAAAGACATTCACACAAAAAGGACATCTCAAAATGCACATCGATGCGATGCATAAAGGTACGGCACCTACATGCAAAATATGCGGAAAGAAATTTCAAAGGAAGGATAAACTCAAGATTCACATCGATTCAGTTCATAATGATATTACCCATGAATGAAAAGTTTGCGGAAAGATATTTTCACAAAAGAATAAACTGAAGAGCCACATGGATTCGGTACATAATACGATCACTCACGCATGTGATATGTGTGGCAAGTCATTTTCACGAAAGGATAATCTCAAAATCCACATGGATTCAGTGCATAATGAAATCTCTAGTGAATGTGATACATAAGGCGAAAAATTTATGCTAGAAGATACTCTCAAAAAGACATCGAAGCGTCGCATCGTCATATCACTTACTCTTGTCGTGTGTGTAACAAGACATTCTCATATAAAAGCAGTCTCAAACTCCACAGGGATATATATGGTGCGCAAACGAGTCGGACATGCACGATGGCGTTTCGGCAAGCGACATGCGTCAAGAAATTCTCAACAACTCAAATTCAACACTGCTTCGGTGCATCACTCACGTGTTACAACTTAATTAATACTCCAATGCTATATCTCATTATGTAAAAACGATGTTTAAGATTTGATAAAACTAATAAACTATTTGACAAAAAAAATGAAGCACATTGTTGACCGACAAGTTTAAATTCTAGTCACTTTTCAGCGCTCTTCGCTGGCCCTTGATTCTGCAATTCAGCAATACACGACATACTTTTATGCGACTGTTTACGCTATTTAGTTCCTGAATTTTTTAAACGACGCTGTTAAACGAGATCCAAAAATGTAAAATCTTATGCATCCTCATTGTTCTCGCAATCGCGTCAATATAATATTTTTATAATAAAGAGATTTCCCCCGAACTAATCCTACTGACAAGTAAATTTTTTGATTTATTCAATTATCGTCAAAGCTCGAGACCTCCGATATTTCTGAAATATAAATTTGAGTCTGTAATTTTGAGCCTACACATAGCACGCGCCACTGAACTTTGTAAATCGCTCCTAAACATATAATACGCCCGACAAACCGAGCTTTCTTGGTCGTATCGTTCGGCATGTGAGTTATAATTAAGATCGTAATGCTCGAAATTTTTCGACAGAGATTAATTCAGCGATCAATCCTAAACGAGACATAATTTGGCCACGATTCTCGTGTAGCATGTGGTTATCGAGCTTTCTCATACATACACACTCGCGTACATTATAATATATTATACCCATTATACCAACGGACCGTGACGCTCTCCTCTGATTAAAACTCCGATTTAAAGACTCGATTCCGGAAGCCGATCGATACATGCCGTGCGATACATACAACATTCGTATACATACAAAATACGCTGCTTTTCTCTAAAATACGACGCGCGCGTGACCTGCAGGGTCGCGGCGCAGCGATAAGCCAGCAGCGGCAGCGCGTCCCGAATGTACTGAGTGCCACTCGATCGCCAGAACGTCGCGCAGTTTCGTTTGGCCATTCGTGCTATATAGTCGAAGTTGAGCTTTTTGGTACGCATAGAGACTCGAGAGTGTCATTTATTGGACGAGTGAATCGTGATCGCGGGTGAAGTAGCTTCGTTTTTTAACGAATCGAGTAGGTGGAGGACGATTTCGATCGAGCTGCAAAGAAGAGCAGTAGGTAATTATTATTTATATTATTTATGATACTTCGTCTTGCAACCTACTTTACTCTTGATCGTTGTATGTTTTAATTTTAATAATACTATGCTGCGCATTTGATATCAGTTCATAAAAGAGCATTGTTTTGAACTCTTTTTTATATTATATTGAACTCATTATCTTGGTGGAGGAACATTTTTTATAAAATTTATTTTATGAATTTTATTGAATCCCATTATCTTTGATCGTAGCAACAAAGAACGTCAACAGTCCAAAACAAGCGTCAACATGTACGTAGCAATCGTCGCTCTGCTGCTTATCTGTCAAGCGTGCGCAGGCCTCGCCGACACCACGACGGAGCCGAGTCTACTACCCATACCCTCGGTATTGAACCATCTCATCGTTGTTGTTCAAAAAAATAGTCGCAGAAACTGAAACTTCTTTTCTTTTTTTTTTCTTTTCATATATAATATCTTTAGCACCACTGGAAATCGAAGCTGCACAACTGGATGGAGGCGGCGGAGCGGGTGATCGCCGAGGCGCAGCAGTCCCAGACGACCGACGACTTTCACCGGGTCGTCGCCGAGGCGCGCCAGCTGCGCAAAAAGTTCTACCTCGGGGTGCTGAACGCCCAGGAGCCGCTCGACGAGGGCCGCAAGCTCGAGCTGCGTCGCAACTACCTCGAGACCGCCGACGAGTTTCGCATGGCCTGGCTGGCTCACATCAATGCCATCGGCGACAGGGCCAAGAGGCTCTACGGCAACATGAGGCAGTACAGCATCGTAAGGTCGAAGGACCCGATGAGGAAGCTCAAGGCCATCGACGTGGCGCTGGCCCTCAAGGCCATCGTGCAGAGGCTCGAGTACGAGTACGAGTACATACAGAGCCAGATGGCCGAGGACGAGGACGCCGTGCAGTACCATCTCGATAAATAAATGAGAAAAAAATATCAAACGACACTTTTGTAAATAATGATAATATTTTTTTTTTTTCGTAAATAAAAACTATACAAAGCGACGATTATTCTGCACTCGCGAGCACTCGATTACCCATATACATCAAACCTATAATATATAATCGCGTCGATCATCGTCTATATATCTCGAGCTCGATGACCGGCACGTGTCGCGCCCACAAAATTACCAGATATCAAATACACGCGCATTAATATCCTATCGTTTAAGCTAATTTGTCCGCACTCGGAGATGCGGCCTCGGATAACGTAAATACTCGCCTATATAAGTGCAACTCCTCGTTGCGGGCGTGATCGCTTACGGCACGTGTGGGCTCGTGCGCTGCATCGACGACGACGGCGGCGACGACACGTGTCCCAAAGAAAAGAGGAGAGCGTGCCGGCCGAGGCGTTAAAACGTTTTTTGCGAAGATCTGCCGAGAGTCGGCGGCTATTCGTTTCATTGGATTATGTATACTTTGACGCGCGTGCCGACGCCTGTGTACTACGGATGCGTCTGTTTTTTCAGCCGTATTAGAATAATCTCGTTTAAATACGTTTTTAAATAATGTTAATTACGCATAAATTGATCGTAAATTAAACAATTATTGTTGAATTGATAACTTAAACTTTGTTGAGATTAGAGCATTAAAGTCAGTGAAAATCAACTGCATCAGAAATGAAATAAATTATTGTGGTTTTTATAATACGTGATTTACCTTGTACTCTTTGAAACCATCATTCGCTGGATAGTTGACCATGTATGTAAAAAGAAACATTTCAGCCTTCGTCGCTCTAACACGGTATTAAAAAAATGAAATAAATAATGTCAAAATGTTTACGATAAAAATTTGAATTTATTTTGCTCTGCCGGAAGAAGTGCGACGACGACTACGCGAGGAGCTGGCACGAGGAGTCGGGCAGGCTTCTTCCGCTGCCGGCGCGAATCCCGACTTGGCCGCAACAAGGAGGGATCGACGACTCTGCACCTGATTTGCAGTGGATACGGCGACGATCGTCGCTTGGCGGAGACGCTGTTCGAGCTCTGCGACCAAAGGTATCGGCCGTTTTTGCGGGTCGACGTTCGAGACCATAAGGGCTAGACGCCGCTGGACTTGGCTAGGAAAAACGGCCACGATAATTTGGTTGATTTTCTGTTGGAAAGAAGCGCCGCCAATCAAAATCTGGCCAATGAACGTAGAGGCGCTGAGGACGAGTACCTGCAATTGATCAATTATGTATATATCGACTTCCATATCGATTACCATAAATCAATTAATACCTGGATTATCTCTTTTACCATGAACACTCTTATCGTATGCTATTAATTTTTTTGTTATCGTATAAAAATAGAATCAAAATTTGTAATCGTCCAAAAAATCAATGCACGAATAATTATAATCATTTCAAATATTATCTTGGCAGATATTTAATCAAAGTACCCTGCAAATATTTCAAGTATTCGACTCGAACTAAAAAAAAAGTATCGATTAAAAATTTTAAAACATATTTCAATAGCTCGATCTAAATTAAATTAATTTTTCAAGTTTTCTCTCTTTATCACTTCTTCAGGGAGTTTTGCAATAATAATGAGAAATGATTTATCCGACGACGTCGACGACGACTATACAGGTTTATCACGACGTGGACGACGATGACGCGAGTTTGAAAGGTTTATTCAACCGCTGTATAATATAAAGCATACATAACAATCCTACATATATTTCCCGAGGCTTGGTTTACTTATTGCTCTCCGCACACACACACACACACACACACACACACACACACGGGCATTATATACACTCGGACGTATATGTATGTATTACGGGCGCAATTGGCCGCGGGTTATTACATCGACGTTGGTAATCTTTTCTTTTTTTTGTTTGTTTTGTTATGGTGCGCGGCTACCGTTAAATAATCGCTCAGATATATACCACGTGATTCGCCTCGAGGCGCGAATATAAATGCGGTCGCGTCTACGTGTCTGCCCAAGTAATTAAAATCGTTGTGGATTACGTCGTACCGATCGAAACGATTTCGTTTGTGCGAGATTTGTCGGTTACATACGGCTGTGGGTGAGGGTATATAAATCAAAGCAAAAGGGAATGGTGGACGTTGGGTGCGATAACTGGATACAATGAATGTTGATCAATTTTTGACGCGTTTTCGAAAGAGTCGAGATTATTTTTCGAACATTTTTCTGATACGAGGGAAGCGAATCGTGTTATCTTTAAAAAAAATGTCAAATTAAATCGATAAAAAGCTACGATAAAAGATCAAAATAGAATAAATCCTATTATTACTTATTTGAAATGAAATCTCAATATCACCATAAATTTGGCTATTCAAACGCGCTTACTTCTTCAAAATAAACTCATAAATATTAATTTCTTCACCGTAACCCAAAAATTAATGGAGCTCCGATGACTCGCAGCGCATCGTCCGCGATCACGCGCTGATCAAAGAGAATCATCGGAATATAGCGTCCGGTGCAACTACGGGTCAACTCATCCATAGTCGATCATCACCGACTGATATGCACGAAAAGAATGCCACCAGAATAGGGCTCGAGCTAAATCAGATTTTTTTTTCGAGCATACTGTTCAGTGGGTTCGATCAACCCCCGCGCGCACGAGACATGTCATAGGTACTTGTACCGTCCGATGATTTTCTTTTTTTTTTTTTTTACTTTCGCCCCGACCAAGGAACCTACCGTCGCATAGCGCGTGTAAAACTCGAGGACGCGTAGTACGTAAATTCTCCAGTGAATCTTTGAGCTGTAAAGTGTGTGGGCTTTGCTGCTGCACATTTGAGAACTACCACTGGGCCTCGTCGTCGGGGTACTGAATTATTCAGATGGTTTCTGTGAGTAAGTTATAAGTACGGCCTGGAGCGATATCCGATGAATTTTTTGACTGACTGCCTCTCCGCGTGTAAAGAGAAAAGAGAGTCTGACAGAGGCATGGGGTCTAGAGCTCTCTCTCTCGTAAATCGAATATACATAAGTTTTGCAGCTACTTCATTAATTTAATTCTACATGCGCGTAATCAATTATTCAATGGCCATTGGGCACCGATAAATGAAAGAGAGAAAGAAAAAAAGTTGAAGAACGAGGGAAATTGGATTTTGCCAAGGGGAGATTAGCTTTTAGTTCGTGCACTTTACTTCGCTACTTGCTTTTAAATAGCCGCGTGCATACAATACGTACCAAATAATATCTAATTATCATCTCGCAATCTTATTTCTATAATATACAACATAAAAAAAAACGCAGTGGGTACATACAATAGTGCTGCAATTGCTGTACTCTTCAAGCCCGAGTGCAGACTAGGATCGAGCCAATGCGCAGGACGAAAACAAAAAAAGGACAAAAGCCAACTCGAATGCAGCATATATGCCCGTATATAACAAACATCATACATACATCGTGTTCGTGTGCCGAGCAAGTGAGGCGACGATGCGCCATACCGATAAGCCAAATGAGAGAGAGAGAGATTGCGCCGAGCACACACACGCATAACAACGAGAACAAAAAAAAAGGGTACATTTACGTATTGTCAACCCGGCGCGCACGCGAGTCCCGAAAGTCCGAAACCCCCCCTCATGCAGACATCACGATTGCTTTTTCGAGAAAATCTCGATGCGGCGGGCCGATAAGGCTCTCCTCTCCATTTTCAGCTCTCTTTGTACTATATATATAGCGGCATCGATTAGATTATCGTTATATACACTCGGGTGTACGAGCAGCAACAGCAGCAGCAGGTGAGATCATTCAAGCGCGTAGTTACGATATGTAATATATGAACGAATGAATGGAAAAGAATGACGAAGCTGATCGTAGCCGCGCGGCAGAGTCGGTCGATCGCTATCGCGACGATATATTCAAAATGTATATATTGGTGGCTGCTTATACCGAGGCCCCATTAGCCATTGTCGAACGCAAAATATGGCCATTAGAGATGTAAATGGAGTCTCTCTCTTTTCGCGTAATGTGCATCGAAGCTCGTCCATGTAAGGGTGCAGATCTGATGTACGGAATAATTATTGAATTTTAATGGATGCGTATATCCATATTGTTGGTCCTTACTTTTTTGCCTTCGATTCTGCCTGCGAATCATTATCGTATGCATTTTGCATTCTTTTATTTTTTCATAGCAAACTAACGAGGTAAATGTCTCAATTTTACGACGCTGTTAAAATACATGACATAATTGAAAATTACAATATCAATTGCTACTCTATCAAGTCGAGATCCAGAGGGTACGAGAGGGAATCGTCGGCGCATTGATTCTCGCGCCGTTAAAACCAATTCTCGCTCGGGCTCTTCCATTTTACGCGCTATATATATAACCAGCATCGAGCTGCTAACACGATCCTTGTGTACGCACTTTTATCCTATATAATATATAACTGCGTGTGGATGCTTATACGTGTGCAGCAGCAGCAGCAGCAGCCCTGCGTGCAGTTGCCCTCGGGGGTGCCTCTCTCTCTATAAGCTCCGCAGTAGTAGTAGAAGTAGTAGTCCGCAGCTCTTCCACCCCAATCTTTATATACACGTAATCACAGGAGTTGGGGGATTTGTTGCTGGTTCGTACATATATATATATATACGACAATGTCGATCGTGGCCTTTGTAGCCCGACGTTATATACGCGTGCTATATACCTCACTCTCCTTTTCTTCTTTCGTTGCACACACGCATCTCCCGAGGGAGAGACTTGGCTACTACTACTACTACTACTACTACGTGCTAAGAGAGAAAGAGAGAGAGAGTAAAGTATTGCATTTCAAGCCGACCCGAGAGTCCGATCATTATCTTTTTCTTCTCGTGTGTTGTGCCGCGCGCGCGCGCAAATTTCACCGGGATTCGACGACTCACTGCCGCTGCAAAAAGGGATGCGATCACGACTCGCATTTATATTTGCTGCTGCTGTTGCTGCTGCGCCTATGGTGAGCGTCGCGATCAAAGTGTCGGTAATCGCCGGTATATATGTGTGTAGCGTATATTGTTGGCTTTGACTGGGTTGAGTGTTGACACGCGACACTGTGCTCGATGTATTCATATTTAATGTATACATACGCGTATGCCTTTTTTGTTTTGATAAATATCGATTGGATATTTTATCAATTTATATTTTCATGAGTATACGAAACGTTAGTGAAGCAAAGAAATTAATTTCCAACGGATTTTAGTTACAAAGCCTGCCTAATATCGAAGCATACAATTGTGTCGATTTCCTGAATATTACAGTATATAGTAGGGCCGAATTTCCTCATAACAATCAAGTACTCGGTAGAAAAATCTCAGCTTGCGCTTATGCGCGCGCGTGGATATGCACTCGAGCTCCTTTTTTCCTCTCTCTCGATCTCGCCACTTATCCGGGCACAAATTCCGCTCTTATTATCGCGTCGATTGCACGCGCCCTTCTTATAAATATATATATAGGCATGTGCTCGGCTAATACAGACATAGTAAAAAGCCATTGCTACACCTGGTGGTCGTACTATACTATACTGCCAACAGAATCTCGGCAGCTCTCGAGCGTCAAGTGAAGCGCGTCGCGTCCTCGTCTTGAATAATAATAATTATAATAACAATTCTCGACTCCGCTGCATTATGTGTATGTATAAACTTAAAAACCTGCGTGAGGGGGGTGGGCGAACGATTACGCGTATACGTGTGTGTGTGTGTGTATGACTGCATACTTGTATAAAGTTGGAGTGTGGCACGCGTCGCTGAGCCGGCACTACTATATATACTAGAATCAACGCGTTATACATTTTATACTGCAATAGAGTTCGAGTCTGTGTGTGAGTGTGTGTGTGTGTGTGTAGAGAACCGCCGAATACAAACATTATACACACATAGGTACGGGGCGCGCGCGTACTTTTAAATGCGCGCTCAGGGAGCCTCATTGTTACTTTTGCCAAGTGGTCAAAGAGCGCCTCTGCGCACACATACAGTGCGTATACCGGGCCATGAAAGCCAAGTGGTTTGCTTTTTTTTTTGTCGGAGTGAAATAGCGCATGAAAGGTCGTACATGCGCGCGCCCGAGTCGATCTCATACATATACGAGTGCCCACCACGGCATTTTAATATCGTTGTATTATACGCGCGCCGAAATTACGACGATGATGCTTCGTTGCGCGAAGACTTTGTATTATAATATCAAAAAAAAGGGCACCGATTAATGCAACGTCGATGGATATTGTGTTGGATATATAATTAATGCCCGAATCGAGGCGTGTGCTTAGCTCGAACGCCGAAAGACTGATTTTACTTCATGAGTTGGTACTTATCGACTCTCGTGGTCTCTCGTAAAGTGTGGAGCAAATTATGAATCGTAAAACTTTGATATTACTTATACAATTTTATTTTTATTTTGTCACTTGCGGATTTACAAATGAAAGTACTCGCCATCTAGCGGTGGATGCTGGGCATTAATTGTGATTGCAATCGACCCAAAAATTGAATCAGAATTAAAATAGCGATTTTCAGTAAAAACTTTCAAATTCGAATCGTTGATGAATTTGAAATATTTATAGAATTTTCGCATTAAAATAATTTATGCGATTGTATTTTTATGAATTTTCAATAATAACTCGATTATCCGGATCCTATTTGATTTGTACATATTTACACATTTACAATGATTTTAAATCGCTGAGATTAAAAGATCGTGTGATATAATCATGAAACATAGAGTCATGATTCATTCAAGATGTAACAATTTAACATACAAAATTATGTGAGTATAACGTATTATTTATTGATGCTGAGCGCAGCAAAGTAATACACATTCGATATTGCTAATTTTTAATGTTTTACTCTAACTGCGATAACTCATGCACAAAAAACTTATTGAAATATAGATTTATTGTGATACTCATTGAAGCTACTATTATTAATTTCATATGGCTGAAACAAATATTACACTGATGTTATATGCTATTTTGTTATTTAACATTGAGTCGCTCAGCATTTTGCAACTATGGTTGCCACTAGTGTAATAAATAGTGTAATAAATAGAAAAGAGTATACATGTATGTATACTAGGGTGGTCCACTTTTTCAAAAAATTTTTGTATCTCGGGGGATCCATCGGAATCAGAAAGTTTGAGGTTTAAAATGAATTTTCCCGTAAACTAGAACTGAAAAAAATGATTTTAGATGGTGTCGATGGATTTTTGAAGTTTAAAAACGTGCTCCAAAAAAGAAGCAAAATCGGGCTATTATTCGATTTATTTCAAACTCTGTTTAGAGTGTAAAAATAATCTTGACAATACATTTTCTTATGTGTTTTTGTCTGCAGAATCGAATGCCGTAGTCAGTTTTAACCTAGGAGCACAATTTCATTCAAAAAAATACACTTTTTCGATCGTTCTTTTTCGTAAATTCCGCAAAGTTCATTTTCGAGCGAGTGGCAAATGAACAGAAAAAATCTAGAAAATTTTTTGACACCACCAAAATGTAGGATTTTTTATGACGAATCCAATGGTATAAATTAGTATACACTTTGAAATTATTTTAATGCAGAAAAATACAACTTTATCCCAAAAAACGACATTACGAAAAATTGAAAAATCGAAAAGTGTATTAGTTTCTTCCAGGAAATGGCTAAGTAGAATCAACTATGGAAAAAATTGCATGAAACTATCTGATAGGTTTTTTTCTCACCTTTCCAACGCCGGTTTCAGAAGTTAAAAATTCGCAAGATTCGCTGAGATACAGCTATTTTTGTACGATGCATTTTTTAGGCTTAAAATTCAATAATTCTGAGCTAGCTCTATTCATTAAAAAACCAGCGAAGCAGAATTTAAGCTAAAAAATGCATCGTACAAAAATAGCTGTATCTCAGCGAATCTTGCGAATTTTTAACTTCTGAAACCGGCGTTGGAAAGGTGAGAAAAAAACCTATCAGATAGTTTCATGCAATTTTTTCCATAGTTGATTCTACTTAGCCATTTCCTGGAAGAAACTAATACACTTTTCGATTTTTCAATTTTTCGTAATGTCGTTTTTTGGGATAAAGTTGTATTTTTCTGCATTAAAATAATTTCAAAGTGTATACTAATTTATACCATTGGATTCGTCATAAAAAATCCTAAATTTTGGTGGTGTCAAAAAATTTTCTAGATTTTTTCTGTTCATTTGCCACTCGCTCGAAAATGAACTTTGCGGAATTTGCGAAAAAGAACGATCGAAAAAGTGTATTTTTTTGAATGAAATTGTGCTCCTAGGTCAAAACTGACTACGGCATTCGATTCTGCAGACAAAAACACATAAGAAAATGTATTGTCAAGATTATTTTTACACTCTAAACAGAGTTTGAAATAAATCGAATGATAGCCCGATTTTGCTTCTTTTTTGGAGCTCGTTTTTAAACTTCAAAAATCCATCGACACCATCTAAAATCATTTTTTTGAGTTCTAGTTTACGGGAAAATTCATTTTAAACCTCAAACTTTCTGATTCCGATGGATCCCCCGAGATACAAAAAAATTTTGAAAAAGTGGACCACCCTAATGTATACATACATTGTATATACCTGCTCTTTGGGACGTATAGTACGTATAGATCGTCGCTGCCGATGTTTTAAAAATAATCAATATCACGCCGTTGTATAATAATAACTCGGCGCTCGCGAGAGGGGTGGACGAAGCTTTTTGCTTTTTAGGACAGAGTTAAGTATATAACATATATGAATTTATATGGGACTGGTAAGGTGTGTGTCTGTGTCTGTGTGTGTTTGAGTGCTCAGCGTTATACTTCATTTATTATTAAAAAAAACTAGCGATTATAAATAATTAACTTGATATTTTATGCAAGATACATCTTCTGCAAAAACCTTCATTTCATGATTTGTATGTTTAACAAAACTGTACAGATTGATAAAAATGATAGATAGATTGATTTAAATGAAACATCATGGTTTTTTTATAAAAAATTTATTGATTTTTTCATAACTGGATCGTTTAGTAAGCAGTGAGATGAAAAATATAGAAGTGATCCAAAATACAATAGTAATTGTTTTTTTACAAAATTTCTATGTACATTTTATACACTTATTGGGTGGTAATGCGTGAGTGATGAGCTATCTCGATGACAGTTTTATAACCACTCATTTGTCTCGATGTTTGATCATTTTGCGCGGTATTGATAGGTACGTTTTAAGATCTTTTGCATTGATCTCGTGCTTGGGTATTGCCCTCGTGCTCACTTTTGACGTGTCTGTATAGATATTTCCTGTGTTTAAATTTTTCTCCGCAGACAACGCATGCAATGACTTCATGCGTTTTAATGTGAGTTTTAAGACGGTCCTTTAGAGTAAATGTCTTGCCGCAAGTATTACATGCGTAAGTTATCTTATTATGCATCAAATTCATGTGTTTTTTAAGATTACCCTTTTGTGAAAAAAGTCTTTCTGCACACTTCGCAAGTAGGTGCCATACCATTATGCATCGCATCGATGTGGATTTTAAGTTTAGTCTTAGTTGAGAATTTCTTTCCGCACACATCGCAAGTAGGTACCGTACCTTTATGCATCGCATCGATGTGCATTTTGAGAGTATATTTGTGTAAGAATGTCTTTTCACACATACCACACGCATGTCTAACACCATTATGTACTGAATCGATGTGAATCTTAAGTTTATTCTTCGTTTGAAATTTCTTTCTGCATATTTCGCATGTTGGTTGCATACCTTTATGCATCGCATCGATGTGCATTTTGAGATTTCTTTTATGTGCGAATATCTTTGCACATATACCACACGTATGTTTAACACCATTATGCACTCCATCGATATGCCTCTTGAGATCTTCTTTTCGTGTGAATGTCTTTTCACATATTTTGCATTTAGGTGCCATACCATTATGCATCGCATCGATGTGGATTTTGAGAGTACATTTATGTGTGAATGTCTTTCCACATATACCACACTCATGTTTAATACCATTATGAATTGCATCGATGTGAATTTTGAGATCTCCTTTTTGAGTGAATGTCTTTCCACATATACCACACTCATGTTTAATACCATTATGAATTGCATCGATGTGAATTTTGAGATCTCCTTTTTGAGTGAATGTCTTTCCACATACACCACACGCATGTTTAACATCATTATGAACTGCATCGATGTGGACCTTGAGATATCCTTTTCGTGTGAATGTCTTTTCACACATACCACACGCATGTTTAACATCATTATGAACTGCATCGATGTGGACCTTGAGATATCCTTTTCGTGTGAATGTCTTTTCACACATACCACACGCATGTTTAACACCATTATGCACTCCATCGATATGGATCTTGAGTTTATCCTTCGTTTGAAATTTCTTTCCGCATATTTCGCAAGTAGGTGCCATACCATTATGCATCGCATTGATGTGAATTTTGAGATGTCCTTTTTGTGTGAATGTCTTTTCACATATACTACACGCATGTTTAACACCATTATGTACTCCATCGGTGTGGACCTTGAGACTACTTTTTTGTGTAAATTTTTGACCACATATATTACATGGATGTTTGGCACGATTGCGTGCCTTATCAGTTTGGGTTTTGCATTGACTATTCTGAGCAAATGTTTTTTCATTTGCATCAAATGCATCACTGAGTTCACCATCCAAATTCAATTCTTCTTTTATTTCATCGACAATTTCTTCTTTCATTTTCTTTTGAGTCTGATAATCGCAACTATTTTTCATATGCTGTAAATGATCTGGATAATCGTCCTCGATTTTCTTGACTACTAATAAGTTAATGCCGAACTTCTCGTCCTTACATTCGAATTCTACTTCGACATCGTCAGGGCCACGAGTCTAGAAATTAATTTGAATTTAAGATTAGGGAAAATTGTTGTTGAAAATATCAGCTATAAGCAGTGCTATATGAACACTTACAAAATTTTCTCGACATCGCAAGGATTCTTCAGTGTTCGCATCGTGAGCATTGTCAATTATCTGATAATCATCATTTTCAATTGGGGAAACATCATTTGGTTCCTTCTTCACTCTGCAATATTCCCAATAATATAAAGCATTATACCATTTCTTTTAAATTTCATTCTCACGAAAAAAAAATTACCTGACATCAGAGTTATATACATCACTGAAGTCCATGTTTATCACTCGGAACTTGATCAACGACTAATTGTTCCGTAATGATGTTACACATCAAACTAGGTAACATAAGTGTAATAATATTTACAAATTGTAAAATGAAAGTTTGAGAAAATTTATGTCAACAGAGACACTCTAAACTGACTATTTATTATTGGAGAAATTATACTACTGATCTCCGGCATAATAAACAATTAGCAATTTTATTTGGATTGTATCTTATTACAAAGAAATTATAAATTATTGAACACTTCATGAATCAAGCTTATGATGTGTCCTAGTTATACTTTCATTCATCATAGGGCAATAGATTAAAATGTCTAAAAAAACTAATTGAAGAAGCTACTCTTCAATGAACCAATGCAAGCATTGCATGCAAAGCAAACAATTTTTAAAAAATGTTCCTTTGCTTACACGTGAAGAAAATCGACGTTTTTTTTGCCATTACAGGGCCCTCGATTTGAATCAATGTCAATTTGTATTTAATTTTTGAGTAGTTTGCCTTTGGCGTGTAAACGAAGGGTTTTTTTTTAAATATTAAACTCATTTTAAATTCCCTGGAAATGACAATTTAGTCATTTTCAAAAATTTAGACCAGCTTTCAAGCGTTATAAATACGATGAAACTTTAAGTCTTCGCCGCTAGATGGCGAGTAACCTTATTCGTAAATCTGCAAGGGGAAAATCAAAAATACTTATACATAAGTCTAATAACTGTATGCTTAACTAATATTTTTCGTCTAAAATGTATTGCTGTAATAATAATAATACATAAATGCACGACAGCAGCAATGAGCTTGTCATACAGCTGGTGTAGTAAGCAGCTCAGGCGAGACCGAGGAAAGATCGCTCTGTGCTGTATAACGTGTAAGAGCTGCATACTGTACAAATAACTTCTCTACATATTTCCTTCAAATAGAGTATTCTCCTCTCTTAATTCTAGCCGTTATTATTATTTATTTAACCGTAACATAACAACATATAATTTAAATAAATAATTGTAAACCAAAATAGCACTGCGTTAATTGAGAATTCATGGCAGACAGCAAGATTTGTCATTTACAGTATGTGAAACGCTACAGCCACAAAATACTGATTCATTAATGTCGATCTTCGCTATCTCCATGTTAAACAACAAATTCTTGTTTTCTGAAAAAAATAGTGTCGAGAGTGGCACCCTTTCATTGTAGATTGTAGATTTTAAAAACGTATAGTTTTTGTTACAACGATTTTGGCTTATCACAAATCCGATACCATCGTTGAGTTTATTTTAAAATATTACGTATTTCTTAATTATTCACAGCTTCGAAGATCGATTAAAATGTTTTGACTCGCACGAATGAGGACCCCAATTACAATTGTGTAATATCGAAAGATATATATTCAAACGACGTAAACGATATGTAATTTATCTCTCGAAAAAGTGCCTCGAGTGGCTCCCAGTCGTCAACGTTATAGTCTCGTGGAGGGTTGCAGCTATACGTATTTATACCGCGAAGCCCACCGATTCACCTTACAATCAACGACATCTCGTTAAAGATGGTGTCGACTCAATCTTACTCTCTCACACACACAAAGACGCATATACACAGGCAAACAGACCTGAGTGGCTCGTTTCAAATACATAAATCTCCACTAAACGAACACCCACTCACACCGCCTTATGGCAATAATTTCTTTCTCTTTCTCCCACACTTACTGATCGGATTTTCTCGGAAAAACCGTGAGCCATCCATTTTCTTCGAAGAATGATATTCCCGTACACGCGGGCGACATCGTTGGTATTTCCCTGCCTATATACGTGTATGTATCCCCCCACCCGCGCACACCCACATCTACTGTATTCACTTAAGCTCCACCTACGCGGTGACATCCTATATACATACAATGGTCGTGGCCGCATGCGCGCGAGTTCTCCTATACATATGCACACTACACACGAGTAGGAGCGGAAAAAACGATTTTCTTCGTCCACCCACTCTGGTACATATACGTAGAGTACACATTCGAGGCGGAGCAAGGAGAGAGAGCGATGCATCGAAACTCGATGCGCGGAGCAACCCTCTGCAACTGGTGCACGTACGTCATGTATCTTTTTTTTTCTTTCTATGCCCCGTGCGCCTAGATCTCTACCCTTCGGTATACCTGCAAAACGTTTAATGGGCGCACACAGGCATTATATAACTAGCTCGGGCTGCAAATGTGTCTCTGCGTGCAGGGCGCAGTTTTATATGCGCGCGTACGGTATAAAATCACCCCTGGAGAGCCAACGGCGCGCGGAGAAAAGGAGATTCCGGGACCACTTGCGGATGGACGCGCGCGAACAATGACAGAGAGTAGAGAGAGAGAGAGAGAGAGAAAAGTGCGACGAGCGTCCCTTATAATACGCGCATTCGGTGCACGGACCGTACGATTCTATCATTCTAGATACCGAGGCGTTAACTAGATTCTAATTTGCGTCGATGACGATGCTGCCGCTGCCTGACTGACGTGCGGACTACATCGTGCGCAGCAAGTGTAAATAAATAAGCACAAGGAATCGACGCTATAGGAGATTTCGTTTTGCCGCGATCTAGCTCCAATTTTTTTTTTATTCTCCTTTTTTTCATTTACCCGTGCGTTTATCGAGAGATAAAAATCGACTCAACGAGCAGCAGTAGCAGCGGTAGCGGTAGCGAACGATTATGTGTCCCAAGGGTGCCACAGAGAGAGAGAGATAAAAAAAATCCCTCGCCGATGAGCCGTAAGCGTCAGAGGATTTGAGATTCTTCCTTTTTATTTATCATAAAGCACGCGGGGTGTTTTCGTTAATTCTTCTTTTCCGATTTTTCGGCGTGATTCTCTATTTTTCGCTGGTATGTTATATATATGAAAGCGCACGGCGAGTCGTAAACTGAAAAATCTTCGAGCATATCATCAGCATATCATCCAGCTTTATTTCTCTTATATATATCATTCGGAATGGAATTTGACCGCTCGAGGGTTTGCGACGCGACATCTAGCGTCGACGAGCCAACTGTGTAGAATATATCGTTCGAGAGATGTTTGATTTTATTACTCGCGAACGCAGCTGTTTCTAAAAACAACAAACTCACATATATATTTATCACAAATTCTTGTACAAAAACTATCATGAATATGAAGAGCATTAGTTATGATTTCAAAATTACTCTTCGCAACGAGTAATACGTCACACTTTTCATATCTAATATTCCAATTCGTAATAGTTTTTAATTTCACTTACCTCGCGAAATTCAACGAAAAAAACCCTTTCGCAAAGTTCACCCAAAGTACGTTTATATAAACAAACATTATACTTACTAACGCCGTGTCATCCACTCACCATAGAGTCGCGCCGAGTCAAGCCTCTACCATCCCGACGTTATATGTTTACCTACTCGGCGTCAGCTTTTAAAATCTTACTATCTCTCTGCACTTTGTATACAAGTACAGTGGTCGCCGCTTAAGAGAATCACTGTGTGACAAAAATTTTCATTCTATTAAGCGGATGATTCTACTATCCGATAGGGATTGCAATAACTTATAAATAACTTTGAATCCGAGAAATTATGCATTATTATAATAAATAATTTATTATTATAAATGAATATATATATATATATAATTTATATAATAAATTATTTATTATTAAATATTTATTCAAATCATATGTGACACCATTATAATTTAGTAAAATAGTCATTTATCTTGGTTTGTTTTTTCTTTTGGTCAATTATTTTGAAAATAAATTTTTCAAATTTGTAGTACTCTTCAAAGGATTTCGAACGATGTTGAACTCCTCGTCTCAAGACTTGTAATGCGTTAAACATTTCTAGATTATTAGGTGCGGGTTCTATACTATCATCTTCCTCTTCAATTTCTGATTCATCTGTGTCCAATTTTTGGCATATGTCATCATCTGTTGGCTTTCCAGAGGTTTCTAGACATTCGTCAATATCTATCCACTCGTCAAAAACCTCATGTGTCATATCTTCCGGATAAATTTCGTTCAAGCTAACGTTGCTCGAAATATTACATATTTCATTAGTTCCGTTAACAAACCCAGCCTTTCTAAAACAATTTTTTATCGTTTCGCTAGATACATAAGACCAAGCTTCTTTGATCTGATGTAGCGCATCAAGCAGAGAGGTCTTCTTGGCAATGTCATTGGCTTTGACATTTTGTTGATTATCTAATATTTGTATAATCCGTTCCCTCATTGTTCTTCGATAGTACGCTTTTAATGTACGAATTATACCTTGATCGCAAGGCTGTATCAGAGACGTCGTGTTGGCAGGTAAATAAACCACTGTAATATTTTTCATAGGCTCTAAGTTTGAATGTGCACCGCAATTATCAATGGTTAATAAAATTTTGCGTTTTAATTGTCTATCCCAATTTCGTAGCCAATCAGAAAAAATGTCTCTTGTCATCCACGCGTTTCTGTTGGCCGTGTAAGCAATAGGCAATTGAGTCACATCTTTGAAGCATTGTGGATTCTTAAATTTTCCAATAACAAACAGGTCTTTTTTTTCACCTGCCATACTGGCACAGCATAACAACGTTATACGCTCCTTACTTGTTTTGAAGCCTTTCGTATTTTCTGATTTTAGAGCATATGTATGCTCTGGTAATGCTCGGTAGTATAAACCCGTTTCGTCAGCATTAAATATATCGCTTGGCGAATAATTTTTAGATATTTCTGGCCATTCTTGTATAAACCACTCATTTGCACTTGTAAAATCAGCTTCGGCTTGTTCACCATGTGGCTTGCGATACACAATATTTTCTCGGCCTCTCCAACGTGAGAGCCAACCGTCAGTGGCCTTGAAATTTTCTTTGCCTAATTTCTTTGACAAATCTTCAGCTTTTGCTTTAAGTAACGGGCCATTAATTGGAGCGCCTTTTTCTCTCACTTCCACAAACCATTTCTTCAACGTTTTTTCTACGTCTTCGTCTTTGCCGCATCGTTTTCTCTTGCGGCTGAGATTTTCGTGAGAGCAAGAGGTACTTTCTATCTCGTAACGATTTAATAATAATCTACTAAGAG